GGAAGATGGCGGACCCGGCGGAGTGCAACATCAAAGTGATGTGTCGCTTCAGGCCCCTCAACGACTCGGAGGTGGTGCGCGGCGACAAGTACATCGCCAAGTTCCAAAGCGAGGACACCGTCATCATCGCCGTGAGCGCCGGGCGCACTGGGGGCAGCGGGCGACCTGGGCGCCGGGCCGGGCCGGGCCGGGCCGGGCTCGGGAAGGGCCTCTGGCACCTTGGGGGTTGGGCGACAGAAACCCGGGTGGGGGTCTGGCTCGCCGCCGCCTTCTGCCCCCTGCACTGCAGCCTGGGTTGGTAAATGCAGCGGGGTAGAAATCCCCGGGGGGGTGTGGGGCGGTGGCTTTCAGCCAGTCCCCGGGGGGCGCAGACTGTCTGAGGGGGCTGTGAAAGATGACTGTGCTCAATCAGAAGTGTGCAAATAAATGCCTGCACTTACCCTGCCAGGGGGCTGCTCCACTCGACATTTTTTAGGGGTCAGCAAATGAAAAAAGGTTGAAAGCCTCTGGAAGAGAAGCTGGCGCTGCCCGAGTTACCGCATGAAAGCTCAGCTCTAGGGTTAATTTGCAGTAACTGTCTCCTCGGGTTTGGTTGCCCGTGTTTGTGGGTAAAGTGAAAACTTTTAACTTAATGTTTGTGTCTCATCTGTGCGCCTTCACCTTCACGTGAATGTCTAGAGTGAGGCTAACACAGGGTGCGGGGGCTGGCACCTCTCTGGGGAGGGGTGTTGCTTGGAGAGCATTTGTCTAGATTGCAGCTATGGTGTGCTTCCATCTTGAATCCTCTTTGCATCTGGGCATGCAAGTAGGACAAATGAATAACAGTAGATGGAGCTTGGAGACAGAAGCCTTATGCTCTGTGCTTTCCTAACAGAGCTCTGCTCTTATGCCTAAATCCAATGTAAAATGAATGGGTTGTTAATGTAATGTAGGACTAGGTCAAGAGTGGTTAAGCTTCTGAAAAATCAACAAATGCTTGTAAACTGAGCTGATTTTTTTGGTCTCGTCCAGTTGGCAGGCTTGTACCTCAAGCTGCATTAGTCCTCACTGATGCCTGGTCCACAGAGTTGGGCTGTATTGCAGGAGCTTGTTGGGGTAGTGACCAAAATAGCAAACTTCCATTTTCATAACTGAGGCAAATACAAATGCTTTCATATATGAGTATTCAGTAACAGGGGCATTATGAGTCCCATCTGAAATTAAAAACTGCAAAGTTACTTTTAGAATTTTGGGTGATACTTTGTTCTCTCTCTGCTGCCTACTTGTAGGCCAATGTGTAATTATTTCTAGTGGGTCAAAGGCTTATATTTGAAATAGCAAAATTGAGGTAACACTTCCTCCCCTTGTCACTTAGATTGAGTAGGATCTTCTGTAGTGTGTAGTACAGCAAATTCACTTTGTCAGATGTTGTGAAAGGACCATGCAGGGCTTGAAATTGATGACTGGTTTGAGCCCTACCCCCATATGCACTATAAAAACTTTTTTTAAATTAAAAGTGTTACTTTGTAGGCCAGATCTAAACCTCCACTGGTCTCAAGTTGAGGACTTGGTATTTTTGGTCTTTGACCAAGGGCAAATCACTGCTAAACTGAGGAATATGGCAGGATTTTGAAGTCCTTCTCCTCAGTAGTCCGGCTGTTGGGGCTAGAAATCCATGCTATGGATGCATATATTGGGATTCCTGTCTTTCAGTAGTAAAAATGTATAGTCCTAACATATGGCAATATTTGTGGTTAAAAATTAAATAGTTTAATTTTCCAGCGTTGAAATGATATTGTTGCTGTGATGGTCCTGGAAACATACAAGAGGTAAGAATTCTTGTGAACTAATGAATGGCATGGTTGAGATAGGCATGGACAAGCTTTCAGGTATTGCAGCATCCTTCCTTAGAGACCTGAGGTGAGAGAGACTGAATGAAGAGAGAAACCTGCCTTTTTCCTTGAAAGTTTATCTATGTCTATCCTAATCACTCTGTTGATCCAGTGAACAATATCACCCATAAGAATTCTTGTCTCTAATTCTCTGTGACACTCGTGCTTTCATGTTTTCAGGATCATTCCACTCTTCTTTTTAAAATGTCAGTTTGTAAACCTTAACTGGTGAGTAGATCTTACCTGAGGACTTGGCCAACTAGGGCAAAATTACCTATTCCACCCGTACCCGTGAAACAACTTTCATAAGGCAGCTCTTCAATAAACTATATTTTTCACAGAACTAATTTTTCTTTCCTTCAGTTATTTCTTAGCCGGCTTCTTTCACCACTGTATGGGACAGTAGCTGCCTCCTTGAGCTCTTCTCTTCACAACAAATCTGAGCCAGGTTTCTCTTCACTAGTGGAGAGGCTTCTCCTATTTCCCACCCACCCCTTATTTGTAAATCTTTTGCCCTGCAATCCCAGCCCTACCCCCAACTGCCTGTCCTGCCCCCTGGATTCTGCTCCCTGCCTGCCTATGGACCTGTTTCATCTGCCTGGCCAAGCACACCCTGTCTGCGGGGGTCCCAACTGGTCTCCATGGAGGCCCTGACTGCCTGCTTTGTCTGGAGCCTCTGGCAGTTGGTGCAGGGTAGAGAGGCCCAGGCCAGATAGGATCAGTTGTCCCCACCATGTCAGTAACTTTCATTCGCCCCCTGCCCCCCCCCGCTCACCAAAATTCCTAAAATGGCTCTCCAGCCAAAATAATTGCCTAGGTATCAGTTAGAAGACGGTGTGGGCATAGAACGCATTAAGACTGACCTAACCATGCTGGTTTTTGCATGCTGGTGACTACAGCGGACAGCCGGCCAGCTATTTTGCCGTAGCTGCCTGTTGCACCTTGCCACTAGGTGGTTACAGAGCTGCTAATAGGCTGATTGCATCAAGCAAGGAGCTGCCACAGCATGAAATTATAGCTGTGGAGACAACCCTTGTGTAATTTAAGACTTTCCAAGAAAGAACTTTACCTAAAGCAGAGGGGTGTAGGACTATGTTGTGTGTGTGTTCCATGTTTACCATGATCTGAAGGCAGTTGCAGTAATGTGAACATGCACCCCAAATGGAACCAGCTGCTGCCCCCCCCCCCCCCCCCCCCCCCCCATTCCATCATTTGCTATCTGACTGAAACTTTGGTGGAAAAGGTCATTTGAGAAATCCCCTCTGGTCCTTTATTTTTTCCCTTCCACTCCACTTTTACCTGGTTCCCATATGTTTACTGGCATGCCAGTACTAGTTTGTCATCTTGGACAAATTAGTCGTCTTTTCCCCCCCTTCCCCCCATTTGTTTGTTGTTAGAGTTTACACATGTAGAAATTTTAGCTGAGACATAGTGTTGCATTGTTTTGGAGGATCACTGGTATCAAAAAAGTGTAGGCCTAGTGTTACTTTTAAAAAGGCCAGATATCTCTGGCTTTGAATTCTTGTTAGAAGAAAGCTTTTAAAATTAAATATTTCCTTTAAAAACTTTCTCTCTACTTTCTGGTGATTTCTGATGGATATGTATGCATAAGTACATCATTGATTCAACATGTGGACTTGTTACACATGTGACACTTCAATTATAATGTAACAGTGCACGCGAATATGAATATGGCAGTAAATTGTGAATCCATTTTTTTTGCAGATTGGCTTTGTATTATCCTGTTTCACGTGAGGCTGACATGATTTGATTCGTTCAAGATATTTCAGTTTTGGTAGTAGACAATGCTGTCAACCTGGCTTCTTAAAATTGACTATGTAAACTAGTTTCTTAGAAAATACTTCTTGAATTCTTGAATTTTTTTAAAAGATAAGAAAAGTGTCTTCTCTTAATGTTCATGTGAGGGGCTTTTTTTTGTTTGTTTGCTTGTTTTCCTGATTTCAAAAAAATGGAGGGGAAAGTGACTACTCAGATTGAGACATCATAATATTTTTTCCCATCACAATTCTAATGACTTCAAATGGTGTTGGTAAATTACTCTTATATGTGGTGTTTTGTAAAGAGCCCCTCCACTCTACAAGTGTGGAAATTGCTGTACCCTCTCTCCGTTCTGATTTTACTCCTAGTATAGATCCTTCTTTTCCCTTCCAGATAATTTTAATCATGCTTAAACTTTATTTGACTAGTTAACTGACTGTCTCTTTAGGTGAGAACAAGTGATGAAGTTTGGGTTCACAGTAGAGTGCCTACAAACTTTCTAATGCAGACAATTGTATTGTCATTCAGTTAGGAACTAAATTTTGTCTAGACACAATTTTCTTTGTAAAGTCAATCTATTAATTATTTTAAAGTTTAAGTCCAGTTTTTGTTTTAGCTGAAACAGGCTCCCTTAGCTCGTACCTTGAAAATGGTCTCTCTAGAGTCCATTGTAATGAGGCATGTTTGTTTTAAGTGGTATATGAAAAGGCAAGCTGACACCTAAAAGAACCACAGTGAACATGGCTTATTAAAATATTTATTAGAATTACCCTCAACTTGATGGAGAGAAACTAGTGGGTTTGTTAATTTTGCTTTTTGTGACATTTCTTTGTACAGTTGAAGCTATTCACAAGCAGTATATTCTCACTTCAAATAACATTGTTTATACCATTTTCAGTACCTGTATACATGCTCATGCTTGTCATGTTACCATCTAAAATATAAATTAAAAAGCTAGCGTGTGCAGTCACATGCTAGTGCCTGTCTCGGCAGCCAATCAGTGTGAATAAAGCATTACAGACAGACAGACTAAGGCTTCTGTGTATATATGTATAGAATATCTAATGACAGTCCGCCTGTACTCTTTTATATTAGCTTCATAATAGCAACAGACTTTGACCTGAATATGTATGTAACTGGCTGTGAGTTTATAAACTTTTTTTGTTCGATGGCAAGTTCATGAAAGGTTATTCTATTTACCTACCAAATTGAGGCTAGTGAAGTTTATTTGTGGTTACCGTATCTTTTTGGCAGCAGAAAACTAATGTTAACCAAGCATGTTATTCATATGAAATATTCAAAGAGTAGGCTGTGCAAAGCTGTGCTCTGGCATGAAGTATAGCCCCTCTATATAACAAATACAGGTTGGTACTATATTTTATATATTGGGAAGAGAAACATATCTTATATCTTGAGTAAAGGATGAGTAAAAGTATCCAACCTTGATACTGTAACTACTGGACCTTGTGGCATGCGTTTGA